AGACCAAAATCAATAATGACTTTAAAAATCTGTCTTATAATGGTTACTGAAAGGTTGTTGGCATGCTGAAAAATTTAGACATCCTTCTTTGGCACAATGTTACCATGAGGTTGCATACCCTACATGTAATTCATTGGAACTGTTACATCAGTCATGGATCTCAATCTTTTCTATTCCTGCTTTCACAGGGTCCCTTCATACTTTTAGGAGCCACATGATATGTCCTATTATGAGAGAAATAGTTGTATGATCCCCCCTATGAACTGTCCTGTCTATGAAAGAAATAGTTGTATGATCCCCTTATGAAATGTCCTGACTATGAAAGAAATAGTTTCATGGTCCCTCTTGACATGTCCTGACTATGACAGAAATAGTTTCATGGTCCCTGTTGACATGTCCTGACTATGAAAGAAATAGTTGTATGATCCCCCTATGAAATGTCCTGACTATAAGAGAAATAGTTTCATGGTCCCCTATGAAATGTCCTGACTATAAGAGAAATAGTTTCATGGTCCCCTATGAAATGTCCTGACTATAAGAGAAATAGTTTCATGGTCCCCTATGAAATGTCCTGACTATAAGAGAAATAGTTTCATGGTCCCCTATGAAATGTCCTGACTATAAGAGAAATAGTTTCATGGTCCCCTATGAAATGTCCTGACTATAAGAGAAATAGTTTCATGGTCCCCTATGAAATGTCCTGACTATAAGAGAAATAGTTTCATGGTCCCCTATGAAATGTCCTGACTATAAGAGAAATAGTTTCATGGTCCCCTATGAAATGTCCTGACTATAAGAGAAATAGTTTCATGGTCCCCTATGAAATGTCCTGACTATGAGAGAAATAGTTTCATGGTCCCCTATGAAATGTCCTGACTATGAGAGAAATAGTTTCATGGTCCCCTATGAAATGTCCTGACTATGAGAGAAATAGTTTCATGGTCCCCTATGAAATGTCCTGAATGAGAAAATCCCCTCTTGATCTTCATTTTTGTCCATTTATTATTTTTTTTGCTCACAGTATTTCAGCCACAGAGCTGCAGTGTACCACTGACCGCTGGTCACTGGCCACCTCTAAACGACGCCGTTCAACCAACAGGGCCTTACACTCGGGTCTTCTGAACGTCCACATAGATGAACATGTCTTAACTTCAAGTTCAACTTTCTCATATCAACCTGATCCTAACATTTTAGACGTCTTTCCACGGAAATCTATCTTGAGGTACGCTACTTAAGTACTTTAATCACTAGGTTTTGGGCTCAGACTATCTTGTGTGTTGATTTTGCATACATGCGTAAGTGTACTTTGTACGTGGAAGTTATTTTATTGCTGACTTGGGGGGGG